GTCTGTTTGTTGAAATATGTCAACTGGTACACCATCAACTCCTGGAGCCTGGTTTTTTTGCCAGTTCCTTCAGAGCAATTTGAACTTCCTCCTTCATCACAATAGGCTCTTGCTCATATGTTATTTCATTAAGTTCTTCTGTGTCAGACAATTCCTTCTGATACAGTGACTCTGTGTATTCCTTCCATCTTCTCTTGATACCTCCTGAATCATTTAACATTCTACCCAAAGTGTCCTCAAGTATTGCACCCGTGGCTTGAATTTGTTTTTCAGCTCCTTCAGCTTAAGAAATGCTGGCGAGTTTGGCCCTTTTGATTTTCCGACTCCAGCTCTCTACACATTTCATTAATGTCTATAAACTATTTTTAAATTGTTGAATATATGAAATAAATCACCTTCTTCAAAATATGTAAGAAAAAGTATGTCTATCTGCCCATCAATAAAATTCAGATACTATAATGTAAATATCTTCTCTAACGTTCTCTAACATATCTTTTCCCTTCTTCACCCCTCATGTTCAAGTCTAATGTTGCTCTCTCAATATCTCTGAATACATCTTCATCTCCATTTTTCATTAAACTACTCTGATCCCTTCTTTCCATTTAATGTTCTCCATAATCTGTTAAAAAGTTGCCATTCATTCACTTTTGTCCCTTCCTGCTCTATTCTAGACACAAATATAATTTGTAGAACACAAATCTGAAATACTGTGTGATGGATGTTGAGGTGTATAAGGGCCTAAAGATGTAAAATATCGGGGGAGGGTGTAAAAAAACACCTCAAACTCATCGCCGTTGAGTTAGAATCAAGGCATAACAGATTCTCCAGTAGGTTTTCAGAGACTGTAAATCACATGAGCAGAAGTTGCCATGTCCATTTTCTTTACATAGAACTGCTGAAGTATCTGACCTGCACGGGAAGTGTCACCTTTGGGTTCACAGAACAACTTCTTACAGACTGCACTGCCGGCTCTTTATGATAGATCAAATGTGGTGGTAACCCAAATAAAAGGAGATGTAAACATCTCAAGGAAAATAGTAATTCACAAACAAGTACACAGAGATTTGCTAGCAAAAAAGAATCATTTTTATTGAGCATAAATTATTTTCCCAACAATGAGAAATTCAAATAACATAGAAAAGACATTACTAAAATAAAGGCTAATATTTGGAGAATAGTCAAATGTTATCATGGAATCATTGGACACAAAGATATCATTTTAGGAAATAAGTAATTGGAGGTCAATTTCATTGTTGAGAATGCAGTGTCTTGAACATAGAAATCTTGATATAGATAATCTTGAATCAGATGAGTTGTTAGAATTATGATTTCAGGTCCACAGAGAGTGGTGGTCTAGCAGCAAGAATAGCATCTTCTGTAGCAAAATGGTCGGTATCCACAGCAGCCATAGCCAGAGCCGTATCCACAGCCGTAGCCAGAGCCGTAACCACAGCCATAGCCAGAGCCATATCCACAGCCGTAGCCAGAGCCGTAACCACAGCCGTAGCGGGAGCCATAACCACAGCCGTAGCCAGAGCCATAACCACAGCCGTAGCCAGAGCCGTATCCACAGCCGTAGCCAGAGCCGTAACCACATCCATAGCCAGAGCCGTAACCACAGCCATAGCGGGAGCCATAACCACAGCCGTAGCCAGAGCCGTAACCACAGCCATAGCCAGAGCCGTATCCACAGCCGTAGCCAGAGCCGTATCCACAGCCGTAGCCGGAGCCATAGCTACATCCATAGCCGGAGCCATAGCCACAGCCGTAGCCAGAGCCACCATAGTAGTTGCAACACATGTTGTCTAGAGATAAAGTTTCAGTTGAGGATGGGAGAATGATTCTGATGTTTGAATGTCAAGTACTCTTCCAGGACCTTTATATACTGTGTGAAAGGGGTGGGGCATAGTGAATACAGACTCTGTAGACTCATTAGTGCAATAATTTTCATTTTTACAAAGTTCATCATACTAAGGACAACAGTATGTTCCCGTGGCTACACTCAAGATTGGCTATAGTCAATAAAGTCAGTAATAAGACACAGACACAAGCCATGCAATGCACAACTATGTCTTCTGGAATGTAAGCAAACCCTAATTTAGATTTCCTCTTCAGGAGCATTAACTCTCCTGTACTTCCATGCACACATATTTGGACAACGAGAGATGGCCTTGTCTGGAGATGACATCCAAACAATGGGGACTTATGATGGGACATGTTCAGGTTACACCTTTGAGAATGTAGATGAAGTACATGAGCCATTTGGTCACTGCAGCGGTGGCAGAAACAGAGAGGTGAGACTGAAAAGGTCTAAAATAGTACAGGAAAGATATGTGATACAACAGACAGAATCAAAGAAACTCACTGTGCCTTAGCCATATACAACCTACTCCATCTAGTGTTTCATAGAACAGACCTTTTAAGGATGCTACTTCTGCTTCTCAAAAGATGCTGTATCGATCCCTCACCAAATTCCACCATCTATTGTCCCACTGACCTCTCAAAATAAGCTGAGGTTTATCTCTTATAAAAAGAATCCCTAAATAATCACAATGCATATTTTTTTTGGTTTTCTGTAGATTCCTGTGAATAACATATCATTTTAAAATGAATTATTTTAATATCTGCTTCTTTCGTTCATTAGGAAGTTCTTAAAGCCAGTTGTCATCGCATTATTTTCTGAGAAGCAAATGAATAAAACATTAACTGTTAAATTATACTTAGTTTAATTTGTGAAATAATAAGAAGAATATTATATTATACTACACATATTCTCCTTTATTTCAATATATTCTTCTTCCAAATTGATATTCTTTGCCTCTATTTTTCTTCAAAATGTGTATTCTCCTTTCTGATGATATTTATTACACTATTTTATTTTTACAAACACAATAAAGTCAGAAATAGAGATATTTATTTTTATACATACTACACATGAGGAAACAGAATGGCTAAGCAACTTAAGCTAATTTGTGCTGGAAATGAATTAGTTCAACTGCTACTAAAAGATAAATGCTAAACAGCCCACGAATAATATTTCACTCTAGTTCATTTAGTAGGAAAACACATCACTTCCATCTGACTTAAATTACCATTATTTTGGGTTATCTGCCCTACATGCGCACTATCTGGTTCTTCTCTCATGATGATCTTCAGTCTCCTAACAAAAACATGGTGGAAACATCAAACACAAAACATAATCACCTCTCAAAACTGTTCTGTAACTCTTTTTAAACATCTCAGAACATTGATTCTCCATTTACAGAGAAGACAATCTTAAAACCATGATTTTAGACATTGTAGTATCTGAAGAAAACATATACTGACTTTCAAATTTTAGATTATATTGGTAAGAAAGCACATTAATCAACAACTTCTAGTAAAATCTCAGATTTTAGATCTATCTTTAAATTATTATCATCCCACGTTCACTACTTTTTTCACTCAAATGTATTCAATGCAAGCATGATTCTTTCAAGATTCACAGTGCTTTCCACACTTTTCAACAACTTTCTCTCCAAACAGTTGAAAAGATTTACTTTCAAGGTTCCATTAATTGTTTTTTCTAGACAGTGGCTGGATAATGCATTTTAATCTTGCAAAAAATAATAGGTCATAATGTTGATATGACTAGTCTAGATCTCAAGGATAAAATCTATGCTTTAGGATCTATGCTTTATAATTGTCATCTTTGAAAAAGAAGCAGTCTTTTTACCAGAGGTTTTATGGAAGAATAATTTATACAATCTTGTTTATTTTTCTCTTAACTTCCAAATTCCTATAACTAATGTTCTACTACTAAGAAATCTATTTGCACTAAAATCCCCATCCACTTAACTGTAATGAAAATTATCAAATATGAGCTACAAACGTATGATAAAGTAAAAAACAGGGACAAATTATTGAATAATAAGATATATCATAAAATCCATAGATTTGTTATTAACCATGCAACAACTGATATCATTATAACGCATCTTTTATCACAAAATATTTTGGAGTTCGAACTGTGGCTGACTCTGTGAAGAATAGGAATCCCAGAACTTGATCGTACTAATGTGAAACCTATACTTGGACCAAGAGGCAGTCGTCAGAACAGAGCAGGGAAACACTGCATGGTTCAAAATTGAGAAAGGTGTACGATGTTTACTATCTCCATATCTTTTCAACCTGTATGCAGAAGAAGTTATCTGAAAGACTGGCCTCTTTGAGGAGAAGTGTGGCGTCAGGATTAGTGGAAGATCTATTAATAATCTGCATTATGCAGATGACACAATCCTGCTTGCTGAAACTGAGGAATACCTCAAGCACTTGCTGCAGAGGGTCAAGGACTGAAGCCTTCAGTATGGACTGAGGCTCAATGTCAAGAAGACAAAGATTCTCACCACTGGACCAATTGGCAGTGTCAGGATGGATGGCGAAGAGATTGAGATTGTTCACAGCTTCAGTTTGCTCGATTCCACGGTCAACAGTCTTGGCACCAGCAGCCAGGAAATAAAAAAATGTATTGCGATGGGAAAGTCTGCTGTTAGGGACCTCTCCAAAGTATTCAAGAACAACGGTGCCTCTCTGGAGACTAAAGTGTGTCTGATACAGGCCATGGTCTTTGCAATCACTTGTTATGCATCAGAGAGTTGGGCAATGACTAGGGAGGATAGAAGGAGAATTGATGTCTTTGAGCTGTGGTGCTGGAGAAGAGTATTGACTGTACCATGGACTGCCAAGAAAACAAACAGATTCATCCTGGTGAGGGTTAAACTGGGATTCTCCTCAGAGGCAAGGATTATGGGGCTTCATCTGACATACTTTGGACATGTTGTAAGGAGAGACCAGTCCTTGGAGAGAGTCATTATGCTTGGGAGGGTGGAGGGATGGCGTAAGAGGGGAAGACCCTCTATGAGGTGGATTGATTCAATAACTGGGTAATCAGAATGGGTGTGTCAGAGGCAGTGCAGTTGGCTCAGGACAGAGCAGGGTTTATGGCTGTTGTACATAGGGTCACTATGAGTCGCAAGCATCTCGATGGCACATAACAACAACAACAACATTTTAGAGTTCATGTAAGAGGGACATCATGCTTGGGAGAATGGAGGGACAGCGCAAGAGAGGAAGACCCTCAATGAGATTGATTGATTCAGTGACTGGGGTAATCAGTGTAGGTGTGTTAGAGACAATAAGATTGGTGCTGGATAGAGTAGGATTTAGGGCTGTTGTACATAGGGTAGATATGAGTCGCAGGCGACTGAATGACACATAACAACAATAATATTATGAATGTAAGAAGCTAATTTATAAGCATATATATGTCTTTTTTACAATAACATTAATATTATTAATTAAAATCTTAAATGGCCAAAATGTAGTCTTAACCAAGAAGCTTGAGCCATATGCAACAGATATTTACATTTTACATGTTAATACTGGTCACTAGCAATGATTTCCTATTGACCAACAAAATAATACAATCACAAAAATGTACTGAATTCCCAGAGTGCAAAAGTTGGACATTCTTTGTCACATGACACTCTAGCATTCCTTAGATGGTGGTGGTGGTGGTAAATGACATTGAGTCCACTCTGCCGCAGGATGATAAAAACAGACAGAAATCTGCTTGATTCTGAGCCTTCCTCATGATCTCTGTGATACTTAAATCGTTCACTGCAGTCACCATGTCAATTGTTAGGTAACATTGTTTTATTTTACCTTTCTATACTTTGAGTCTTAGAGAAATTAAATCATACGCCCTTGGTTACATAGCTAATCACTGGAGAAGCCTTTATTAGACAGTAAGTAATGGACTCTGAAAGGTAGGCTGTTAATATTTCTCTATGAATTTTATTTGGGGATCTGAAGAAATTAAATTTTATTGCAGGTTAGTAAGTCAATTAGATACAAGACTTCATTACTTAAGGAAAACTTTGACATTTATTTAAATTAGTTTTGAAATAGATTTCCGGCCCTAGGCCAAAATGGTAGGCATTCTTCCTTGAACTCTATGATTTTAAACAAATAAAGCAACACATACTCTATAAAGTTTTAAATACAAAACCATTCCTTTAATATCTGATGACTATGAGTAATGTTGTTATTGTTGCTGTTGTTAGGTGCTGTCAAGTATGACTCGTAGCTACCCTGTGAACAACAGATCTGAACGCTGTACTATCCTGTGCTGTTCTCACCATCACTGATACACTTGAGCTCATTATCGCAGTCATTTTATCAATCGAGCTTATTGAAAGTCTTTTTCTCTTTCACTAACCTTCCATCTTTCCTAGCATGATGTCCATTTTCAAAGAATAGCCTCTTCTGGCAACTTGTCCAAAGTCTGTAAGACAAAGCTGCACCATCCTCGCCTCGAAGACACACTCTGGATGCTCTTTTCTAGGATACAGCTGCTTGTTCTTTTGGTTGTCCATGGAATGTTCAGCACTCTTCTCTAATACCACAACTCAAAAAGCATCAACTCTGTCATTCTTACTCATCGTCCAGCTATCAGATGCATAATAAGTGACTGAAAATACCATGGCCTGAATCAGGAGTACCTTAAGCTTCAAACTGACTTCATTACTCCCTTTTAATTCAAAGAGTTGTTGTTAGGTACCTTAAGGTTAATTACAACTCTTAGTGACATTATGAACAAAAGATGTGAACCTTGTCCTATCCTGCACCATGTTCATGACCACTAATATGCTCAATCCCTTTGCTTCTGTCATTGTGTCACTCTATTTCATTGAGGATCTTTCTCTTTTTCTCTGAAACTTTGCCTTTCCCAATGTGATGTCTTTTACAAGCTCTGGTGC